ATTTATGTTTTTCTATAATGGGCCTTATTCTGGGCCCATTATGTCTATATTATGTTCTTTGTAATTTCTTGCCCAACTAAGGGCCTCCTTGTAATTATTCAAATCTATCTTAATAAAACAGTGTTAGGGTGCTGAGAGAGAGTATGGTTCGAAACTCTCACTCTCAAGCCCTCATTGCCGAACTCTCAAGGTCTACTCTCTTCAGTTTTCTTCAACAAGTAAATGTTCTTCAACAAGTAAATGTTCATGCTTCAGTGAATATTTTATGTCATATTCTTCTAAGCAGTTTTGGAAACATAACTTAGGGTTTTCTTAGAACCAGATAGGTAAGTATAAGGGGGTCTGATGTCCTTCTAAAAGACAAGGGTGTCAATATTTTTGCCAAACCTTTAGTGATATCTAAGTATGTACCTACCTATAAATAAAATATTCACTACTATGCACGATGCTCTGTTTAGTAATTTGGATTTTGTTGTTTCTATTCATTTATTTTTTGAATACTAGGTTGTGTAATTAATCATGGCTCATAGTCTATTTTTTTCTTCTTGAAATTGGTTTCTTCTCTGATTCTAGCTAGTTATTTCTTCAATATTTTTAATGTGTCAAATATCAGATCATCTTATCTACTTTTCCATCACATTAGGTGGATGATAGAGGATATCTCAACCTTAGTGGGCTTCTAAAAGTGACAGGGAGTTATGGAAAAACTGGTACAGAATTTCTTCCAATACACTTTATGGAGAATGATCTCCTACTGTTCAGATCTAATGCAAATGTTAATTCCATTTTGAATTGTTATTAAGGTTTTATTTACCCATGCCACTTTGTATGGTGAAGCGACAAGTTACATATTCGAAAATACACTAGTGGCCCTCTGAGATAGTCATTTTAATTAGTCAGCTTATGTGGAACATTTTTTTTCTCACTCTCATCCATGCTTTGGATGCATTAAATCTGAAACTGACCAAGAGGCTCTAGCAACGATGCTACTGTAGTCTGAATAGGGAATCTACTGCAACCGACAACAGTGGAAGTTTTAGGAATATTATCATTTTATTTTATTTTTCCTATTTTATCTTTTACAAGCAACCAAGAAAAATAAATAAATTATAGACAAAATGTAGATGCAAGAGATACAAGGCATACACCCTCTGCACCCAACCTATGACACCCTGGAATCCTTTAGAATGTACAAATTTGCTGTTTGTACGATAGTTTATGTGTGAACAGAAGGTGTTCAAGATGGGAAAAGAAACAAATGTCCCTCTATAAAGTAACTACTACTAGATCTTTCTTTATTACATATAAAAAATCAATTATAACCCTATAATTAAAACCACAACCCCTCAAGTTGGTGCAGATATATCTATCATGCCCAACATGATAATCTCTCGCAAATGACCCTAACACCTTTAGGAACTTCTCCCATAAAAAATTATCTTGTATATGTTTAATACAATCATGCTAATGGTTTATGAGCCATGCTAACAATAGCCTTTATTAGCATAATACAAGCTCATTGGTCCAATAATAGCAAATGCCAGCTCTAGAAGTAAAGGTCTAAGGTGACAATGCTTTATAAGAGAAGAGGACCCATTGTTCCCTTTCCTCTTGACCCTAGTGGTAGAGGTACTAAGCAGAATGGTCGTAGTCACAAATGTTCGAGGGTTCTTAAAGGGCTGGATGATTGGTAGATATCAAGTAGTTGTATCGCACATTCAATTTTCTGATAATACAATTCTGTTTTGGAAGGATATTGACTTAAAACGGGTGAAACAACTAAAGTTATTTATTGATAACCTTGTGAGTATCTCAAGGTTGAGAATCAATTGGAATAAAAGTGGAATTGCTGAAATTAAATTTGAAGAAGGGGAACTCTTGAGATTTGTAGTAGACGTGTTGGGTTGTGAGGTTAGGAATTGGCCCTTAACCTGCTTAGCTCTACCCTTGGGGGGAAACCCTAGGTGATGGTTTCTAGAAGCTAGTGGTAGAGAGGTTTCTGAAGAAACAAGCTCTCTGGAAAAGGAATTATATTTCCTTAGAGGAAGAATCACCTTAATTAGAACCACACTAGTAAACCTTCCTATATATTTGCTATCCACTTTCCATATCTTGACTAGGATAGTTAGACAATTGGAGAAATTTATGAAGGACTTTCTGTGGGAACCAAGAGAGGAGAAAAGGACCATTTGGATAAATGGGAACAAGTATGTAAGCCAAAAGAGAATGGGAGCCTAGGTTTAGGGAACGTTGTACTTAGAAACACTACTTTGATAGGCTCTCAAATACAAAAAACATGAAAGGACATAAATGCCCTTACACACTCCCCCTCAAACTGAGGATAGATATTTGTCATGCCYAGCTTGTTCAAATTGTTGCCAAGCTTTGATTTGGAGACACCTTTAGTAAGGCAATAAGCCAATTGATCTTCAGACCTCACAAAAGGTAAACAAATCTCTCCACTGGCAACTCCTTCTCTATTGAAATGTCGATCAACCTCTATATGCTTTGTACGTTCACGTTGAACATGATTGTGGGCTACGTTTATGGCAGCTTGATTGTCACAATATAATATCATTGGAGTATCAATATGCACTCCGATTTTTGTCAATAAGATCTTTGGCCATAACAATTCAGAAACTCCATGAGCCATAGTTCTATGCTCCACCTCTGCACTAGATCGAGCCACCACTGATTGTTTCTTACTTCTCCATGACACAACATTACCACCCACTAAGATACAATAGCTAGAAGTAGACCGCCTATCATCAATAGAACATGCCCGATCAACATCAAAATAAGCTCGTATCGTTATATGTGCATGATTAGAATACAACATTCCTTTTCCTAGACATTCTTTCAAATTGGCTTACCACACTCACAGCATATGCATAGTTCTCAAGGTGCCAAGGTGAGGCTAGACGACAGGGGGGTGCCTAGTCGCCTAGGCGATGGATTTTTTTAAGTAAAGATCACATATCCTAGGGTAGTTCCCTAGGTTCCATAACTAATTTTCTTTAATTATGAAAATTATAAACTTCATGTTTAAGTCTAGAAAATCAACATATTTATGAGAAGAAAAAGAAGAAAGGAAAGAAAATTCAAAAAAATATAGGGCCTGAACCCCTATTTTTGTTATAGGAAAAGAAGAAAAGAAAAGGTGGAAGAAAAAGAAGAAGAAGAAGAAGAAATGTGTTGATTAGACAAATTTTTAAGTTCTTCCCTTATTGGTTCAGATTTTGAAGTTATTGAAGGTTCAATACAGCAGTTAGCAATGTTTGTGTTGATTAAACCCTAAYAAATAAGAAAATAATAAAAAGAAATTAGCTTATAAACACAAAAAATGAATATTTTTCTTTAATAATGTCTATTTTATAATTATAATATAAAAAAATTAAGTATTTTATTACACATTATGCAAAACTGCTTGGTGACTGGGCGAGGCGAGCCTCCAAGGGCACCTTGTCGCCTAGGCATTGCCTTGAAAACTATGAGCATATGATATATTTAGTCTAGTCAAATACAAATAGAGAAAGCGACGGACAAGTTTTTGATACACAGCTTTGTTAGGAAGGACATCTCCATCATCAACTCCCAACTTATGATTGGGATCAATTAGAGTTTCAGCTGGTTTACAATCCAATTTCCCTACTTCCTGAAGCATATCAAGGACATATTTCCTTTGAGAAATATAAATGTCCCTCTTTGACCTTGCAACCTCAATCCCTAGAAAATACCGGAGATTTCCAAGATCCTTAATTTCAAATTCGGTAACAAGAAAAGACTTTAGTTCAGCAATTCCAGAGATTTCATGAATCCTACTGCCGACAGATTCAAGAGTCCAAAGAGGAAGTTGTGCAAAGTATTCTCTATGTCCTAACATAGTAGTAGATCCTATCACATTGATCATCAATCAACATTCCATCCTTAAATGCCCCAACATACTCAGATATTTGACCTGGAAGGATCGCACTGGTTGGTATATCAAAGACAGACAAGTCTAATATTCAATCCAATATCAATATCAAGTCTAGGTTAAGAGAAACACCCAATTGTTCCATTAATCATGAAGTCTAGGAACATGTTGGATTTGATCCAATTCAATGTTTTGTTATAAACACTCACCCTCACAAGTCACACCTTAGGTCACAACCTGAGCAACTTAGGCCTGCTACTCCACAAACTTGGGTAGTGTGAGAATGACAACCTTGTCAGGATAGACTTCCCCAAGTGTATCCACTGGTTGTGAAGATTTAAGCCCATATTAAATTAATTATGTGGTCTCATACATAATACTAATATGAACCAAGAGTAATGTAGGAGAAGAACCCAAATGACACATTAGTACTAATACTAACAGTCCATGCAACACTGCCTACCCTGGAGACATTACTTTTGTTCAAAATTGTTGAAAAATTTTTTTTGTTCAAGTGTTCATTCTGTATATCAATGGAGAAAATTGGCATATCTTTCCTTCAATGTTTTCTTAAAGGAATGTTTCTGTTATTATTTTCTTCTGATACCCCTCTTTTGATATCTATTGTTACCTTGAAATGTTGGAATTCTGTTTAAGCACAAATGATGTGAAGGCCTAGATTGCACATATTTCATTTTACAGTTACTTTTACTGTTCAGTTTTACTTTTCGCGTTTTCCTTCTAAATTGCACAAGTGCCTTTCCAACAGTGTCCCTTTCTGTTTTCCTGAATGAGAAAATGTTATTCAAGAAAGAATTTCAAGTTGAGAAACGGGAGCTGAGAATTGCGTCCAAGGCTAGTATTTTACAGCTAGCTTCAGTTATTTGTTGTCTTGAACTTGGGGCATATTCTGCATTGAGTTTCCCATGAATATTCTTATTGGATCTTGTTTCAGGTACCTGATTATTGTGCTGCTGGTGGTCAACTGGAAAATATTATGTTTGAAGTTGTTGACTCTGAGGGTGTTGTTGATCAAACTATTCATGATGATGTTAAATGTGGTCAGTCTCATACACTAACAATAAAATCAGAATCATCAGGAATAGATGATACAGTACGGTACACTTTCCAACATGGACGATGCACCATTCCCTTTATTATTGTTCCTCATGAACAAGGAATCTTCCGCCTTCTAGCTGCTCATTCACATCACCCTGAGCTCCACCAGAACATTGAGGTTATGACCATTTTGCACTAGATTATATTTGTTTTTGCAAGTTTGTATTGATCAATAAATTCTTTATTTGCAGGTTCATGTAACAAAAACCCCAAAGCCGGAACATGATGATGTGGCCCAATCTCAATATTCAGATGAAAAAACACTCTTTCCCAGGGATTCATCCCCATATGACATGCATATGGTCTCCATTGTTGAGACCATTATTAATCAAGAGAAGGTATAAGTGTCTCACTATATGTTCTATATGAGACATTTATTGGAAATAAGATAGATTTATTGGCAGTGGTTCTCTTCTTTTTTAAATTGGTGAAGCCATTCAACCTTGCAAGCCAAATCCTCATGAGAAGGAAATTTCCTTTGAAATATCCTGTTATTTCTCTCCTTCCAGATCACCCAGCAGACTGCAAAAGCCAGCAACTCCAAAGAATTCTCCCCTTGATAGGAAAAAAAAAAACAACAATGGTTTATAATAACAATCTTTGGATGCATCATGTTGAAGAAAGGTTTACCCTGTAAAGTGACTATTTTTTCATTCAGGATCTCATATATCAACCAGATTTTCTGTTGAATATAGAAATAGGCAGAAATAGTATTTTTTATAAACTAATTTTTGCATACCTTCACCTGAGGTTTAAAGTATTGAAACCACAAAGCGTATTGGAAAAGCAATTTTTAGAGACATATACACTTTGGATATGCATAGATACAGATGAAAAAACAAGATGCGCATGGATACACTATGAAACTCAAATAAATACTGAAAAATATATATTAATAACAATAAGCACAAGGTATATATGACCATAAATATGTTATTTTAAACATAAAAAAGTATGAGAGATCGGGACAGAATCAGTAACTGTTAAAAAGTGACAGAAAAACTAAAATGTGTACATATATACCCTGATTTTTAGAAAACCAATATTAACTTGTCTTAATATTTGTTAATATATAAATTTTAACAATCAATTTTAGCATTTTTTGACAACCATATAGGGGTGATCATCCTAAGCCAACTCGGAAATTCTAGATTTGGGCCTGGGTCTGTGTTCAGGCTTGGCCCAACCCATATATTTAAAAATGTGTTTTATATATAAATATTATAACATTTTTATTTTATAATATGACACTTATAATATATTATATATTGTTAGAGTTGGTCGAATAAGGGTAGATTAGTCTTTACATTCTGTTCAAGTTATATGCTTATGTGGCAGTCCTAATATTACTTCTGTAGTCATCTTGTCCCATACTTAAGTGGGGGCAGTTTAGTCTTTGTACACTAATTAGAATCCGTAATTCATATTATGGTCAACTAGTAGGGTTTAGCCTAATATTTCTCTTCTGGTTCGAACTGCTGAAACTACTGCCGTAACATGGTATCAAAGCGCTAAACGAAGGACAAGGCTGCGGCTTCAAGTTTCCTATTCTGCGATCTCTCCTCCTGTTTTCTCCTTCTCTGGGCTGCGAAATCTGAGGTACTCAGTCTGGTAACTGCAGCACTTTTTTATTTTTTTTAGGGCTGTCGCACCTATCAGTTTCATACTGCTGTCACCATGTGTGACAACTATAGTCATGTGGTGGTGTTTGTGATGTTCACCCTCTATTGAGCAGTTTCAAGAGGGTTTGTGTGTGGTTGTTTGAGTTGTCGAGTTGCTGTCATGGTGATTAGTGTTTCTTAGTAATCAGTAGTGGTGTGAACAAGAAAAAAAATTCTGCTGGAAGTAGCCGAATTTTTTTCTGACTAGTAGTTTACATCAATATTTTAATCTGAATGGAAGGAGTGGCTGAATAGTTTACATCAACATTCTGACTAGTACTTGCTGTCTGAATGGTAGTTTACACAAATTTTTTAATCTGAAATGCTAGTTGAACCTGTCTGAAACATCAAGCTCTTGATCTAAATGTTATTTTAAATCATGGTTGTTGATTGTGACTGATTGTGAGACTATTATCAGTGTTTGGAGACTACTGTAGCGTTACCTTGACAGCAGTACTCGTTTGGTGACCGAGGGTTCAGCATTAAAAGTAGCATTGGAGGGACATAATGGCAGCAACTGGAGATGGTGGTAGTGATCAGAAACCTGGTGTGATGATTCCCTTGGACTATCTGGGTGTGCAAATGACTTCAATTAAACTCAATGGTGAGAATTATGTGCCATGGGCCAAGTCAATGGAAATTTTTCTCAAGGCAAAGAGGAAAGTGAAGCATGTGAATGAAGATAAACCATCCGCTGAATCTCTAGGGTTTGATGGCTGGGAGCAAGATGCCCAAATGATGACATGGTTGTGGAACAGTATGGAACCCAAAATAAGTGTCAACTCTATGTTCTTAGATGCAGCTAAGGACATATGGGAACATGTCAATAAGCTTTATTTTGGACAAGATGATACTACGAGGGTATATCAGCTCTATCAGGAGTATTTCAATCTGCAGCAAGGGAATCAAACCCTAGAAGAATACTATGCCAGTATGAGAAACCTCATAAATGAACTCAATGTCTATCGTTCCCTAACTCCAGATGTTAAGGTTCAGCAACAACAGAGGGAGCAATTGGATCACTAGGTTCTTAGCGGGGCTTAAATCAGAGTATGAATCAATTAGAGCACAAATATTGGGAGGCTCTGTTCTTCCTACACTTGAGGAAGTATTTGCACAGCTTTGCAGGATTTCTTTGGGATCAACAGAGAGTACCACCCCGTCTGATAGATTAGTATTTGTGGTAGCCAGAGGAGGTGGACTTGGTAATAGAGGGGGAGGGCATGCATCTTGAGGAGGTCGTGGTGGTTCCATGTTTGGCCATGGAGGTGGTCGTGACTCAAGGGGAGGTCGTGGTAAAGGAAGCAGTAACTCTATTTGAAAGTGTACACACTGTGACARGGAAGGACATTCAGTGAATTTCTATTATGATATCCATGGCCCACCTTCTACATGGGTTAGTCATGCAGTAACTAGTGGGGTTGATGTCGATGATAACCAACAGACAAATCTAGCACCTTCCACATCTACATCTGCTTCCGGGAAGGAGATGATGAGTATACCGCAAGATGAGTATGAGAGGTTCTTCAGGTTACTTCACAACATACTAGAGCCACCCTTGCACACTCAAGTATAGTTTGATTGGCATCCAAGCTCTCCCTTGGATTATTGACTCTGGAGCCTCCGATCACATGACCGGGACTCCAGGTGTGTTCTCTTCCCTCTTTGAAACTTCCACATCTCAAACTATTACCCTAGCCAATGGTTCATCTTCTCCCATCTGTGGTGTTGGTAATGTTGGCACAACATCTCTTTCTTTATCATATGTTCTATATGTACCTAAGTTTTCATTTAATCTTATGCCAGTTAGTAAATTAACTAAGACCCTTAATTGCTCTATTACATTTTTCCCTTCATTTTGTGTTTTTCAGGATCTCAAGATGGGGAAGAAAATTGGTAGAGGGCATGAGGCCGGTGGATTGTATTATCTTGACGGTAGTGGATCATTAGTTACACTTCAAACTTCCCTAACTCCTCTACAATGGCATTGCCGGCTGGGACATCCATCTCTCAAGGCATTCAAGYTACTGGTTCCGTCTTTGAGTCATTTGTCTTCTTTACAATGTGAGTTGTGTCAGTATGGGAAACACCATCGGGTTTCCTTCAATCCTAGAGTTGATAGTCGTATGTTGAGTCCTTTTGCTTTAGTTCATTCAAATGTTTGGGGTCCGATTAAAATTGTCTTATAATGGTTACAAGTATATTGTCACTTTAATTGATGATTGTTCAAAAATGGCATGGATTTATTTAATGAAAGAAAAGAGTGAATTATTTTCCATTTTTCAAAAATTCCATGTTGAAATACGTACGCAATTTGGTGTTTCAATAAAAGTTCTTCGTTCAGATAATGGCCGTGAATACTTACTTCCTTTCAACAGTATTTGGAATAGCATGGYATCATTCATCAAACTTCATGTGCATCCATCCCCTAACAAAATGGGTGGCTGAACGAAAGAACTGTCATCTCCTTGAAACTACTCGATCTATTCTTCATCATATGAATGTTCTTAAACGATTTTGGAGTGACGGTGTGCTTACTGCTTGTTTCCTTGTTAATTGGATGCCCTCCTTTGTCCTTCATGGTCGGTCTCCCTTTTTTATTTTGTTCCTCACCTTGTCTCCCTTTCCATTAACACTTCGGGTCTTTGGCTGTGTGTGCTTTGTTCACAATCTAAGTCCTGGTTTAGACAAGTTGGATGCACATTTTATTAAGTGTATCTTTCTTGGCTACTCTCGGACCTAGAAAGGGTATAAGTGTTACAATCCCATTACTTGGAAGTTCTATGTATGTCTTGATGTCACCTTTTTCGAGTCCGTCTCGTTCTTCTTGGGACCTAAAGTACTGCTATCTCCACCTTTTCTTCCTCTTCCTCTTCCAATTTGTGATCCCGTTTTGGTGGTTCCCGTTGGGGCTGAACCTTCACCTCCACCAGTGCAGATTCCTACTGAATGACCACCGATCCAGCACGTGTATACTCATCGACAAACATCAGCACCTTCTCCGACTTCTACCTCATTTACGGATCCTGTTGTTGCCCCTATCCCAGAACCTTTAGAACTTGATCTTTCCATTGCTTTACGGAAAGGTAAACGTAGTTGTACCCTACATTCCATTTCCAATTTTATTTCAATCTCTGACCTTTCCGCTTCACATTGCCAGTTTGTTTCTCTATTGTCCTCTATATCTATACCTAAGGATGTCCAGGAGGCCCTTACTTCACCCGGGTGGCGTCAAGCAATGGAAGAGGAACTCTCTACTTTTCAACATACTCACACATGGGAGCTCACTACATTTCCTTCAGGTAAGCATGTTGTGGGTTGGCTCAGTCCAATGGAAAAGATTGGCTATATGGAGACCTCTCCAGTGAAAAAGATTGGCTTAGTCCACATCTTAATTTCCTTGGCAGTTATATATGATTGGCCCCTGTTTCAACTTGACATTAAAAATGCCTTCCTCCACGGTGACCTTATGGAGGAGGTATATATATGGAGCAACCACCTAGGTTTGTTGCTTAGGGGGAGGATGGTAAGGTATGTAAACTGAAAAAGGCAATTTATGGGTTGGAACAATCTCCTCGTGCTTGGTTTGGGAAATTTAGTGTAGTGGTGAAGAATTTTGGAATGAAACAATGGTAGGTTGACCACTCATTGTTCAGCCATGATTCTAAAACCGGAAAGATTTTATTAGTAGTTTATGTGGATGATGTTGTCATAACTGGAAGTGACATATTGGGGATGGACAAACTAAAGGCCTTTCTGCAAGATCATTTTCAAACAAAAGACCTTGGGAAGTTGAAGTATTTCTTGGGTATAGAAGTTGCCAGGTCAAAACAAGGTGTGAGCCTGTGCCAAAGAAAATATGTCCTTGATCTGCTGGATGAAACATGGATGTTAGGTGCGAAACTAGCTGAAACCCCCATGGAACCAAATTCTAAGCTGAGTAGTGATACAAGTGAAATATTTGATGATCTTGGAAGATACAGACAACAGTGGGGAAGCTGAACTATTTGACTATCACAAGACTAGACATTTCTTGTGTTGTTAGTGTGGTGAGCCAATTTATGCAGAACCCCCAAATACCTTGGGATGCTGTTCTTAGAATTGTAAGGTACCTAAAGGGAACTCCAGGCCGTGGGTTATTGGACAAACCAGGAGGAAGACTTGAGGTAGTTGGGTATACAGGTGTAGATTGGGTAGGCTCAATGTCGGATAGAAGATCTATTACAGGTTATTGTACATTTCTTGGAGGAAACCTAGTGACATGAAAGAGTAAGAAGCATACCGTTGTGGAAAGGAGTAGTGTTGAAGCCGAATACAGAGCCATGGCACACACTACATGTGAATTAGTATGGTTGAAAAATCTCCTACAAGAAATTGGATTCTCAATGGACAGACCTATGAGATTGTACTGTGATAATCAAGCTGCATTTCACATCTCATCTAATCCTGCTTTTTCATGAGAGAACAAAGCAAATAGAGATTGATTGCCATTTTGTGAGGGAGAAAGTCCTTACTAGAGAGATAAGCACAGAACATGTGGGCTCAGGTGATCAGTGGGCAGATTTGTTTACAAAAGGTTTGAGCTCAGGGAGTGAACTATATATGTAACAAGTTTGGATTATATGACATATATTCTCCAGCTTGAGGGGGAGTGTTAGAGTTGGTCGAATAAGGGTAGATTAGTCTTTACATTTTGTTTAAGTTATATGCATTTGTGGCAGTCCTAATATTACTTCTGTAGTCATCTTGTCCCATACTTAAGTGGGGGCAGTTTAGTCTTTGTGCACTAATTAGAATCCCTAATTCATATTATGATCGACTAATAGGGTTTAGCCTACTAAGGTTGACTATTTCTTTTTCTTCTTCTTCTCTCTCTCCTTCATTCTCTACTGGGTCAAACTGCCGAAACTACTACTGTAACATATATAATATTTTATATTATATGATGTATCAAAAAATTATATGCATATTATATGTCATTTAATATAAATATTATATGTAATATTTTATATATAAAGGACTTTAAGCCTGACCGAATCCATAATCACCCCTATAAACACCCACTAAAAAGAAAAGGTTTATTTAAGGATTAAAATGCATAAAATTTAAATAACAAAATAGATTTGGGCATAGTGGTGGACTCATGGTCATTAAAAACTAGTGTCCATGGTTCAAACCTTCTTATAGCCTACTTTAGTTTTTAAACCCAAAATTATGTGCGTTAGGCATTAGAATGGCATGCCAAATTTGAAATTCAAATTCATAACTTACCTTAAAGATGAGTGAGACACGGAGAGAGAGAGGAAGTAACTAATGAGATGGATTAACAATAAAAGAAACATTAATGAGAGAGGGAATAATTGAAGTAATTAATGAGAGAGGGAGTAATTAAAGTAATTAATGAGGGGGAGAATAATTAATTAATTCATAATGTATCGGCCAATACAGACCTGAAACGGTCCGATATGGGCCTGTATCTGCCCAATACAGATGAAAAGAAATGAAACGATTGGTTTCTATACGTTCTGTATCGGGCCTTTAATGGAACAATACGTATCGGCTGATATGGGCCGATACATTGCGAAATTTTGAACCTTGCCCTCACGATGTCTACATTCCATGTTTTTACACTTCTTTGCTCACAGGATCTTGAGGGCAATGTTTGCAATATTGGTTCGCGGGTTGGAGACCATGAAAGGAAACTCAAAATGCTGAATGAGAAGAAGGAATCAACAGAGCAAGACATATATAACTTGGAAGGTTGTGAAATTATTCTCGTATTCATTCCTTTTGCTACTTCTTCTGCTGTACTCAAATGGATGCCAAGTTCTGTAAGCAGACAAAGTATCTTTGGCCTTTTAGGCATTATTAAAGATGCAGTGAATTACTTGATGTCCGTGCAGCAATTTCATCAAATAAATCATTTAGAAGGATCCAGTGCCAAGTCAAAATAATTTGAAGGCATTCTTTGTATTATGTCTAATGCCAATCTGTTCTTCCATTTTACTTGTTTTCTAGCTGTTTGCTAGTTTTGGAATGTTAGCGTTAAAACTTCATGAGCATAATTGGTATTGGAATTTCTCTAAGAGATGACTACTCTTAATGCTCCAAGATCTGGAGCTAACACAATGCACAGGAAAGCTTGATTATATAAGGGGAGTTCCAGGTTCTAATTGGATGGCTGTAAACTAGTTCAAACAAGTCACTTCCCCTGGACACTCAGGCACCAGATTTGAGAAGTCAGATCCTTGGTTCTCAGCTTGAATAGCTCATTTAGTTGGGTTCCATGATTAGGAAATGATCTTGCTGATCCCCTCACTAGAAGTGAAACAACGACCTTGTTTTGAGGGCTCCTGGCCTTGGGATTGAGTAGTAAGGCTGCCTTTGTATATTCTTAATTATGCTCTGTAAGCCCGGTTCTGCCTATTTGGAATTTTGGATTCCCCTTTGTTTTCTAGATACTTAAACAATATTGATTAAAAAAGTAAATTTTCATAAAATGAGACAATGTATGTTAATTTCCTGTTGAGGATATCCATAGTTTCATGATGAACTTTAGACCATTCACCAATGCTCTGGTCACATCCGGTCTTGGCCTCTTTTGTTTTTTTTTTTTTTTTTTTTTTTGCACAAAATGGCTGTTTTATGAGTCATGATGAACTTTGGAGTTTGATAAAATCAATTGCCTTAAACTAGTTTTGTTTGTTGGTGTAATTACCAGCATTGATGGCACCTCAACTATTGAGCCAGTTGGACAATGTGTTGAATGAGAAAGAGATCATAGTGAAACGGATTGAAAGAAAAGTTGGGACAGCTGCTGCTGTTCTGTGTAATTTTTCAAAGGCTGTTCAGTTGCAAGAACCACAGGACTATTTCAAGCAAGATATGGTTGGTGTTGTTGCACTTCTTGGAACAGTTGATAGTAATGACCTTAGTAGGTAATCTACTTCACTCCGTTTCACCTTAAAGATTGACTTGAGCCAAAAATACCATGTCTATTGACCTAGAATGTAATTCATCCTAGTTTGTCTGTTGGCAGGATATTTGCAGAATATTTGGGTGAAGAAAACATGCTTGCAGTTGTATGCAAGTCCTATGCGGCTGCAAGTTCTCTTGAGAAATATGAAAAGAATGGAAAGATAGATCCTGAACATGCACTCCATGCAACAGCAGCTGCACTTGGGAAATCAATCAATGGCCGGTTTCTTGTGATCTGCCTTGAAGACATAAGGTAGCAGCTTGTAAATTCCATTATTGACTTTTTTAATCATAAAGTAAATCAACTTTTCCAACACGAGGATTTTCTGAAATTTAAGATATTTATCAAATTGTTAGTGTGCTATTTACTTGATGTAATGGTAAAATGTCAGGCTGACAAGACCCCAGATAGGCCGGACCTGCATTGGGAAGTGGCCCCTTTTATCAAATTGTTTGTCTCTACATACAGGAAGTACCATCTGGTAGAGAACTGACTCATTTTCTCTTGGTGGCAGACCGTACAGTGGAAAATTTGTTGCCAATGATCCTCAGAGGAAGTTGGCCTTGTCTGAACCACTCTTACCTAGTGGGAACATCGCACCTGGATTCTTAGGATATGCAGTTAATATGATCAACCTAGATATTCATCACTTAAAAACAAGGACGGCTAAAGGTCATGGGCTGAGAGAGACACTATTCTATCTTCTTTTCGGTGAACTCCATGTGTATGACACTAGGGACCACATGATACATGCTCGTGCCTATGCAAAGCATGGAGCTGTTTCGCTGGATGGTGGAATCATGAAAGGCAGTGGAGTTATTTCCCTTGGATATTGGTATGTGCAATTTGTATTGTACTTTCTAGTTAATGATCTTTATAGTACAGCTTTCAAATTCATCTTATAGTCTTCACCCAGCCAACTGTCATTAATATAACAGTCTGTGATTGCTAGGTCTCACATGGTTTTGCTCATACCTTCAAAATGAAATATGCTTGACTAAGATGCCTACTTGTGAGTGTAGAAACGGAAATAGACATGGAGATGGGAATGTAACTCCCCATCTCTTGAGAACTAGGAAAAGGATACAAATACTGATAGTATCCATTTGAACATTCTAAATCCATGCCTCTTATGTTTATTCCTTTTGTCAATCTCGGTTGTATAATTTTTGCATCTTGCCAAGTTTTATGAAAATTCAAATGAACAAAAAAAAATTTAAATATACTGTATATACTTGAAGTGTTCATAGTGTACGAGTAAAGTGTCCATCTGGTATATCCAGTGCTGGTGCTGGATGTACAGCCAGGGATTGGTCCAACCTAAAGAAATAGTCCGGTCATCTTACCAAATGTTAAGTTGCTTGCTGTTGTAATGACTTATCCTACAGAAGATTTGTACCTACCGTCAAAACATGATCTAGGTTTTGTAGCCTCGTGAAGTTGAAAATTGCAACTTCATGATTAATTGTTTGGACATTCGTACGTATCTCATACTCTGGCTTGTCAATAGGATAGTTACCAGCATATTAAATATTCTCAGGCTAACATATCTCTGGTTTTAAGGATTAAAGTCAAAGTAGAAAGTCTAGGGCTGTCTATTATTATCAGAATTTTGAAATTGAAGTTCTTTTGTTGCATCTATATTAATTGAAGTTGATCTTGGATTCTATACAGTGAACCAGAAGTTTGCTTTCCAGTTATCACAGAAGTTCAAACATGTTTCCCTCCGCACACCATGGAAATTCTGAAACAGATTGAAGATAAAAGGTTGGCATTGGAAGTCACTCGTGATGAAATAGTCAAAGAGAGTATGGCCCATGCCGAAGCTTTAAAGAAATTCGGGAAAAAAAGCCGGAAGTATCGTGAGTTCATGGAGGAGATGGGACCTTTTATAGGATACTATTTAGAGTACAATTTGAACAAAGATGGGAACTAGAAAATAGAAATCACTACTTCCATGTTTTGTTAAGCCTAATTATGTTTGTAAATGGGTGTATTGATGTTGCCTTGCTAGCTGGTTTTAGCAGGCTTTTTTGTAGAAATGGAGTTGTTACTCGACCTCAAAATTATATCAAATGTATATAAATATGTATATACATCAGTACTGAAAAGAGCTTTGACAGCTTGTGAAATTGGTAGGAGCAATATATTATATATGTAAAGGCACCGTTTACGATCAAAATCCTGAGGTACTCATCACCAAGGTTCAAAATTTCCCATTCGACTGATATGTATCGTATCTTCAAGGGGTTGGCACGGGAAGTGTTACAAACTCATTTGTACCATGTCTTTTCATTCTACCGATTCTATATTGTAATCGTATCAAGGTCTATTGGACTTGTATTGGTGCGTATTGGGATTGTATTGTAATTGTATTGGGGTGTATTGGTTGATATAGTACAATTTTCTGTAGGCAAAAAAAATGAATTAAATTTTCTTTGAGACGTCTATAGATCTATTGAAATTTCTAAAATATTTATTTTTTATTTTTTGTAATTTTTTGAATAAAAATATTTATTTTTTCAATTTTAGTATGAAAAATATTTACTTTTTTGTAAAATTAAAACTATTTTTTTAACTTTTTGTAATTTTAAATTTTTTTTCCAATTTTTAATTAATTGATCTATTGAAATTTATCGTAAAATATTTATTTTTATTTTTTGTAATATTTATTTTTTTCTAGTTTTTGGTGTGATCTAACCATAATAATTCATGTTGTAAATATATGGATGATTTATCATATCCATAAAATTATTTTTCTATTACATTCTATTTGCTAATTTTTGTAATAAAATAATTGTTTGAATAAGAAATAAATAATTGTTTAAAAAATTATAGAAAATGTTTCATTAAAGAATTATTAAGCTTATATTTTGTAGTTATAACCTTATTAGAGAATACCATTACGTTTCTATATGTTGATTATGAGATTTGTTTTTCATAAAAATCACTAAAGGATGTGAATTTTTATGTATATATAGCTCATTTAGGCCCTATATTTAATGTTATTGATGTATGTTTATGGTTTATTAGAGTATTTATAGTGTTTTCATGTGTTTCCATGCGTATCTTAATTTTTTGTCTGTATCCATGTGCATCTAAGGCATATCCTGATATCTCTTAAATTTGTCTTTTTGATACATTTAATGCTTCCAATACTTTAAACCTTGCTCATCACATGTTCAAGATGGGATAAGGAGCAATGTTTGCATGGAATAGAAAGGACCATTTGCCATGAAAATTTTTATGATTCACCACTTTTGTAGTTGATCAATTTTGTTTGGCCAAATTTGCCGATGGAGAAATCAATTCTAAAATCCTACAACTTTGCTTCACGGTTGTGATGATGCAATTTTCACTGAATGTGGCAGCTTATGAGTTTTTCCATCCCGGTGATCTCACATCTCTTTCCAGGTAAAGGTTTTTTCTCTTTTCCTTTCTTTCTTTTGAGTCTCCAATTCTCTTGAATAATTTCCCATTTTCTTGATAAATGTAACACAATAGAGTCCATAAGGATGCAAACGAAATTTTAAACTGAATTTGATAAGATATGCAAGATCTAAGCTTGAATTTGATTGGATTAACTTGAAAAAAGTGCACTAAAAATAAAAATAAGAGGAAAAAAAGGTATGACAACACTAGAAGCAAAAGAAGTTATTAAACTTTAGATTGGATAGAGCCATTCTTAGTCCAATTGAAACCTTAATAACGGCACTATCGTGATAAACTAATTAAATTGATTTAGTAATTAATAAAGCATTATGATAGTTTTACACCAAGGGAGGTTTTGTAGAGGTCAAACTATAAACTATAAGGGAGGTTTAAGGAATTTACCAATTAATCTAATTTGATGTTTTCAATTAATAGTAATTTCTATTAAATATTATTTTCTTAATAACTTTTGTTTATTTTTATTGGTTTTTGTTAATAATTAATAGTGATTATTAAATATCATTAGCAGTAGTTATCTAAAGTATGAATGGCAAGAGGGACATCGTCCCTAGTGCAAGGCAGGTTCAAGGTAGAGTACCCAATCCTTATTGGGGCTTGGGCAATTTCCAAATTTCCCCGCTCCATGGCAATTGCTTAAAAATATATCTAACTTGTGATATTTTAGAAATATGATTATGGGAATTTGGAGGTATTTTAGGATTTAGATATGCCAATTTGAGTTTATTTTAGAAATAGAATTATGAGATTCTAGGGTTTTAGGAATTTGGGAGAAACTCATGAGTATTTTAGAAATTAATATTAAACATAAGGGTATTTTACTAATTTATCATTGGGTTCGGGGGCGGGTTTGAAGAATTATATACAAATTCCATTCTCACCTCATTCCTAATTCAGGGCAAAAATATTTTCTCAATCCCTATTTAAGATTGGGAAAAATCCMCCCCATTTAGGACTGGACAGGCCCAAATTTTATTGGGAAAATTGCCATCCCTAATCTAAATTAAATTAACTCATCCAAATTAACATAAACTAATTTAATTATTATAATATTAATTAATTATCCAAATTTAAGTATTTTATCAATTAATTTAATTTGTATGTATAGGTCTTCCTCTTTTAATTCTTAAACAATTGATGTAGGGATTTCTTCTTTAGTAAATACCTTCCTTTTACTTTTTTTCTTTTGTTATTCGGTGCCATGCACCATTAATAACTTCCCCCTTGACCCCTTTTCTCCCAAAGTGCTGGTTGTGAGATTCGGTTCCGCATCAATGCTGGAACAGACCAGCTAACACACCAACAAGCCAGCCCTCGGTTGGTAATTACCTTACTTTTACTTAAGTTTAACTAAAGCTATCTAAATATAATTAATTGAACTAATGTAATCAATATTACAATCAACTTAATTAGATTACTATTACTGAAAATAAATTATATTAAATTTCATTTCATTTCATTTATATGTAATGAAATTTAAATTTGATTATTGTTATTAAATATAATTAAATTACTTTTAACATAAATTAATACTATCAAAATTAAAGTCAGTAACTTAAATAAATCACTATTATTTAAATTAAATTTAATCAAATTAATAATATCTGAATTAACATTTTACCCTTTATTCCAAAATTAACTTAAAAACCCCATATTCTTTTTATTTATTTACTTTTTTTTCATTTTAGTTTCATTAGTCAATCTATCACTATCTTCTATTGAAACAGTTGCCAACGTTGCCATGAAAGATGACCAAGGCATAACTATTTAGGTTAGATGCTTACTACCGTGTTTTAAGGAGATGACCAATACATATTGGGATTTTACTGTGGAACCAAGTCCTTCCATGCTGTTGTCGTTGCCATGGAATACAACCGCTACAGGTTTTGTCATTGCCTTTATTTTTTTTCGATTTCTTATCACCATGGATCAATATGAAGGAGAAAGGAACCTGACAGCACAAGTTCAAAAGATTTACATCTTATGTGTATGGATTTGCTAAGGCTATGTTTGATTTGAAGGAAAAGGTAGGGAAATGAAGGAAAACGTAAGAAAACCTATACAAGGTTTGTAAAGGTTTCTCCACATTTTCCTTTCTTTCCCTATTTTTTTTTCCTTCAAACCAAACATAGTATAAAGGAAATTTGTGCAGATAATCAAACAGTAAGTAGGTGTTTGGTACCAGATGTATTTCACAAGCAAGCCCTGATTTATGAGTATTTCATTTCACACAAAAGGGAAAATCTATGATGTGGAAAAGTAGTCAACTCAAGGTTTAAAGTATCGGAAAGATAAATTTAAGAGACATATCAAGATACGCTTTGAATATGCATGGATGCGTATGAAAAATTAAGAATACGCATGAAAACACTATAGATACTCTAATACATAAATCATAAATATACATCAATAACATTAAATATAGGGCCTAAAATTTGATTTTTATGAAAAAATCTCATAATCAACATATGGAAACATACAAGTATTCTCTAATAAGGTTATAACTACAAAATATAAGCTTAATAATTATTTAATAAAACATTTTTCTATAATTTTTTAAACAATTATTTATTTCTTATTCAAACAATTATTATATTTTTTATTACAAAAATTATAACAAAAATAAAATGTAATAGAAAAATAATTTAATGGATATGGTAGATCATCCATAGATTTACAACATGGTAAATATTATGGTTAGATCACACCAAAAATTAGAAAAAAAAATAATATTAGAAAATAAAAAATAAATATTTTAGCTTTATAAAAAATAAATATTTTTCATACTAAAATTGAAAAAATAAATATTTTATTCAAAAAATTACAAAAAATAATAAAAATGAATATTTTAAAATTTTCAATAGATCTATGGATATGGTAGATCACCCATAGATCTATGACACAATTATTCTTCATGGGCAGATTACACCAAAAATATAAAGTTTTTATTTTATTTTATATTGTTTTTATATTTTCTTCAAAAAATTATATATATATAAATATGTATATATGTATGTACGTATGTATGTATATATGTATATACATATATATACATACATACACACACACATATATATATATACACTAAAAGGCAATGTGCTGACTTGGCACATTGCTATGCTTGGGTTGCTTTAGAGTGTTTTCATTTTTCTGGAATCTTTTTTTTCAAAAAATAAATAACCATTAATATTGTACACATAATAACATGCACTCCCGAAGCAATGACATTAATTTGTTGGAGATGTTTTGCAGGAGACGTTTGAGCTCCAAAAGCATCTCCTTCGAGCCTTTTGTTTCAAACGTGGGAACTCTAAACACCTCCCTCCTTACACTCTCTATGCTCAAAACTCTCTCCCTCTTTCTCACACTTTTAGCATTGCAAAAGACATTGTTCGTTGTAAAGATTGTTCTCAACGTGAGTAAGTTCTAAACGTCTTCTCTTTTTTGTTGGTTGTCAGAGTTGGTTTCATAGTTGTTTTTGAAACTAACTATTTTCGTTGCAGGTTCTTTGTTGGTTGCAGATTCAGAGCTTTTCTTTGTAGACGAATGTTCAGGCGCAAACCAGATTAAGAGTCCGGCTTTTCTTCATTGATGAACATTCAGACTATTCTTGCTCAGACCAGGTACGTATTAGGTGGTTCTTTTCGTTTAAAAGATGTTGAGAATGTTGAAAAATTAACAATAGAACACAGTGCTAAAATGTTGAAAAAATAAATGATTTGATTTCTCCTTCATTTCTTTACTTTTCTTTACAAAATGTTGAAAAAAT